TCTTCCTTTTTTTCCTTTTCTTTTCTTCCTTTTTCTTTTTCCTTCCTTCCTTTCTTCCTTCCTTTCTTTCTTTTTCTTTTCTTTTCTTTCTTTTTCTTTCTTTTCTTTCCTTCCTTTTTCTTTTTTCTTTCTCTTTATTTTTTCCTTCCTTCCTTCCTTCCTTCCTTCCTTCCTTCCTTCCTTCTCTTCCTTCCTTCCTTCCTTAACCAGAAAGCCGAGTATTTTTTGGAAGGGGGTGCTTTGGAAGAGCAGCTGATTGTTTGGGGCGCTTTTGCTTTTCAAGTCGCTAGTCATCTACAAAAGGGGGAGGAGGGAGAGACGTCCCAAGGGAACGTCAAATCGGCTTCTCTTGAAATTTCAAAAGTTTGCCTTTCTCCGGTGCAACTCAGGCTCTTTCCCGATAATTCGAATTCTGATTCGAATTCTAAGTTTGATAATTCATTCATTTCTGTCCTGACTTTCAGGGAAAATAAGTTTTTAGGCCTTGTTGTTGGAAAGGAACATACTGCCAACTTTTCAACTCACATCTCAGGGATACCAGTGGTTAGAGTGCAGTACTGCAGGCTGCTTCTGCTGACTGTTGGCTGCCTGCAATTTGGCAGTTCGAATCTCACCAGGCCCAAGGTTGACTCAGCCTTCCGTCCTTCCGTGGTGGGCAAAACGAGGACCCAGATTGTTGGGGGCAAGAGGCTGACACTGTAAACCGCTTAGAGAAGGCTGCAAAGCACTATAAAGCGATATATAAGTCTAAAGGCTACTGCTATTCTTGCAAGATACAGAATAAAATGCAGAATAACAGAGTTGGAGGGACCTTGGAGGTCTTCTAGTCCAGCCCCTTGCTTGAGCAGGAGACCCTATACTTATATTCTACTTTTTCCCTGACCATCCCATTTTAACTTCTTCCACCTCTAAAAATAACCATTTTTGCTCAGGACCAAAGCTCTGCTTGCTTTCAAGATGTAATTTATGGCTTTTTACTGAATCAGGGTATATCTTTCTGAGGCTTTTGGGGGGTTGGGGGGGCTATACCAGCTATTTTAAAAAAAATCATTTGAGCCCCCCTCCCCGTGAGATCCGTGCCCTCCACAAAAGATTACTACACTTGAAATGTAATTCATCTCTTTCTCAGTTTTCCTTTAAATAAATAAATAAAAATGAACATTCCTTTCTATTTCTGAAACCTAAAAATGTAATTTTTAAAAAGATGTCGTTAAACGGATTGCTGCAGTCATTAAGTGAATCTGGCTCCTCCCATTGTCTTCCCTTGTCGGAAGCTGGAGATCATGTGACATAAATACCTGCCGGTTGCCAAGTGACCACATTTTGATCAGGTGACTTGTGTGGCTGCTGTGATGGTTGTTAAGTGTGAGGACTGGCCACAAGTCATTTTTTTTCTCATCTGAACCGCAAGGTGAACAGCAAATAAATTTAGTAGTTTTTTTTTCCAGCCCTGTTGTAACT